AGAGAGAGAGAGTTTTGTTCCATTTGTTGATACGAGTGTGAGAGAGAGAGAAAGAAAGAGAGATAAAGAGAGAGGGAGGTGGGGGGCCTACCAGAGAGAGAGAGAAAGAGAGAGAGAGAGAGAGAGAGAGAGAGAGAGGCTGAATGGCAAATTGCGGCCACGATCTATTTCGCAGTTGGAGTGATTTTTTCAAATTTATTTAGCGTTTTCCTGGAAAGATCACAACAAAATCTATGAGTACTCCAATTTCAGGTATTTTCACGCATTCTTCTGAGAGTGAAAACTCACTGAATTTGGAGTACTTTTTAAGTTGGCCCACACATGGTTGAGTAGCAAAAATGGAAAATGTGCCGAATCGGCGAGACAATTATTTCTCGGTCTAAATGATTTTTTTTAAATGTTCTAATATTTTTCCTAGAAAGAACACGCCCTCATATATGAATTCTCAAAATTTCAGATTTTTCTGTGGGTTCCTCCGAGCACAGAAAATCGCCAAAGGTGCCTCTTGCAAAACGCCTGTTTCGTTGCGCCTGACGTCCCTGTTTTGAGAAGACGGGCCTCAACGCCTCGGCCTGAGGGCCCTTACCCCATCCCCACTTCTTTTGGGGGTCCAATTCCACCCGAGGACCGGTCCTTCGTTTTTCCAAAAGTCCCGGTTCTACTAGAGCTAGCTGTAGGTAGTCCGCAATTTCGGCAAGGACCGGTTTCCCAATTTTTTTTGCCCCCTAAGAACCCACTTTGGGTCCCAGTTGCCCGCCAAAAATGCGACACCTTGACACAGATGCCGAACCCAGTAGACTGCATTTGGAATGATTTTTTTTAATTTATGTAGCGTTTTTCCTGAAAAGATCAAAACAAAATCTACGAGTACTCCAATTTTTAGGTTTTTTAATGCATTCTCCTAAGCGCGAAAACTCACTGAATTTGGAGTAGTTTTTTAGTTGGCCCAAGCATGGCTGAGTGGCAAAAATGAAAAATGTGTTGAATTGGCGCAACAATTATTTCGCAGTCTAAATGATTTTTTGTAAATGTTCTATTATTATTTATGGAAAGAACACAACCTCATCTATGGATTCTCAAAATTTYAGATTTTTGTGCATGTTCGTCTGAGCACAGAAAATCGCGAAAGTTGCCTCTTGCAAAACGCCTGTTTCGTTGTGCTTAACCTCCCTGTTTTGAGAAGACGGGGCTCAACGCCTGGGCCTGAGGGCCCTTTTGCAGTTCACATGCCCTCACTTCTTTTTGGGGTCCGCTTCTACCCGAGGACCGGTCCAATCTTACTTTTTTTTGGGGTCCGCTTCTACCCGAGGACCAGTCCAATGCCCCCCATTTCTTTTTGGGGTCCACTTCTACTCGAGGACCGGTTCTTCGTTTTTCCAAAAGTCCCGGTTCTACCAGATCTAGCTGTAGGTAGTCCGCAATTTTGGCAAGGACCGGTCCCCCAAATTTTTTTGCCCTCTAATAACCCACTTTGCGTCCTGGTCGCCGGCCGCCAAAAATGCGACACCTTGACACAGACGCCTAAGCCCACTATACCGCAGCCTAAGGGCTGCGAATTATGAATTACCGACCCTAACTTGCATGCCATGCTATCCGGAGACCGGGATCGTGAAGGGGAGAGGTGTTGTTCCGCAGGGCCAGAACCTGTTGTTGGCGTAGCGAGAAAGCCATAGGGTTGATGGCGGCGCGTGGGCATCAGGGGAGATAGGGTTCATGGGACCGTGACTTTGACTGGCCCGGCCATGGCTGACTTTGGCCGTCTTGAATCGGTACTCCTTGCGGGTCGTGAGGGGACGACCGGCGGGTCGTGTGGGGACGACTAACGGGCGTGACCGCCTTGTATACCAGCTATGAAACTTGATCAGAAGGGTGGTGTTGACCCCTGGTCCTGAGATATGGGGATGCTTTTTCCGTCTTCACTGGATTTTTTCCATTGGATCGCACAAGTGCTGGTTTGATAGGTTATGTGAGGTATGACTTCTGTTTTGTCAATGGGTGAGGGTGTGATGTCTATTGTCTATGCTTCGGTCGTTGACTGTGGTTAGGGTGGATGTTCTGCTGTGTGTGGTCGCGATGCTTGTTCTTTGTTGGGTTGCGACAGGGAACCCTTGACTCACATGAGGAAGCAACTTGGGCGGCGAGGCGCTTCTTCGCGGCGTTTTGGTTGAGACGCTTTCCGTGGCTCTTGCGGGGGAGCAATTTGGGCAATGGGGCGCTTCTTAGCAGCGTTTTTTGGCAGGGACTCCTGCGACGTGGATTGTTGTTGATGGAGGGATCGTGCCTTTGTTACCAGTTTGGCAGGGACCCCTGCGACGCTGGCCTATACTGCAGCGAGCGAGCAAACAAGTTGGCCTATGCTGCAGCGAGCGAGCAAACACGCTGGCCTACCCTGCGACGACAAGTAAAAGTTTTCGCATATGAGTCGGTAGCTCGGAAGGGATACACCCCTAAGGGTGATGACAGCCCCTTAGGGAAGGAAAGTTATGCCCCGCGAGAACCTATCATGCCGTATGGTCATATCGCAGGGGATTGCAAAAGGTACGATTGGCGCACTCGGCTAGAGCAGCGAGGTGGCAATGCAACCACGTCTGTTTCAGCGGTTCGCGGAGCTATTTTGTGTTGTCCCCAAATTGTCTCTTGTGTTATTGCATTTTGTTTTATTTAACTCTTGCGTGACATGGTCAGGAGGGCTCTCGCTTTTGCGAAAAAGCGAATCCGATGCGCTCGACATTGCGAGTCAAGTACAACGGTTATTTATTTTGACAGGTTTACAACCAATGCGTGAAGCTAGCCATTAGTTGCTCTAAGAGTGCGGGAGTCCAAATGACTATGTTATATACCGTAAGGATTGCATGGCTATTGTCCCCGACTCATGGAGTATTTCTGGTGTTAGGAGCCTAAAGACAAAGGGGGGCTATAAGAACGTTATCTTGAACTAAGGGAATCACGAGAGATTGGTAAAGCTAAGAATCAAAATATACGGTGAAAACGAGCAGGAGATGAGGAAGGACGAGGGCCTACAAGGGGCCATTATTGAGACCTGTAACAAAGTCGAGCGGAGATGTAA